CTTTTCAATTATCCATCCTTTTTGTTGTGCCCTAACTAGGACGTCATTCGGGAAGTCTTTCAGATTTCAGAATGGTTTTTTTCTCAATATTAATAATGACAGCAATTTTTCCCTATCATTTGTTACTGCTAGCATCAATGTCATGCGCAATTTTTCGCAACCACTCGTTTATAAAGAAATTTCCCACACACCTCTTCTTTCCAGTGTGTAATTGGGAGGCATATCCAGAAATACTGCCATTTCGTCGACATTCACAGTTTGAGACAAATTGAAATTTTCTTGAAAATCATTAGGAGCTTTTGGGAAATTATAGTTCTGCGTCTCAACGATAACCCTATTCGACGCATAAATCCCACAGTCCAACCTTTGCTGGTATTACAAATTTGTTAGTCCCTCCTTTCGTTTTTCTTGAGAGAACCAGAAAACTGCCTCGTCAATTTCATGAAATCGTCTCTTCTTTGACCCGGTAAATTTTTTGCACGATGCCTCACAATCTGCAATAGCTGCCTTGTCTTTCCGCAACAGCCGCAACGTTACTCTCATTAAGGGCAAAAATTGTACCAGCTTTTCGATTTCTTTCTTTTAATGCTAACTTAATAACATCTCTTTAAACTTCGCTGTATAGAAGAACCTCTTCGATTTTTGCTACTTTTTTTCCATAATTACGCTGTTATATGTATAATTAAACACACACCACGTTCGAGCTACTACGAGGGCGGTAAATGAACTGAATTCGTGCAAGGCATTACTATTTATTTTTAAAATTATATTTATTTTCCAATTTTTTCTGGCTTGGTAAATTTAAAGTTTAGTCCAATAAAAACTCGTCGTAAACAAGGTTTCTTTAGGTGCATCAGCGTCAGTCAACGGAAAAAATATATCGCATCGTTTTGGTGTTGTCGAATTGCTCAAAGAAAGATGCGGATTACATTCGCAAACTAAATTTTTTTCCACTATGCATTTTTAAAATTGGGGTGCGGATTAGATACGAGTGCGGATAAGATTCGAGAAAATACGGTATTTCTGTATCACACTTTGACTACCATTTTTTTTCCATGAGCAACTTGAGTAACTAGGAATTTATCCATTTTTTATATTTTTGAATTTTTCTCTACATTGATGCATCTGAGAGCAAAAGTGTTAGAGAGTTTTTTCTTCTAGCTCATAAGATTCGTAGCATTATTTCTCTGCAGGAATTTTATTGATTTGTATACACTCCTATCGTACGCTCAAATCTAAGCTTTATTTTTTTTTTAAACTAAGCCTCAGAGTCAAAAATTAAAAAATATAGTGTTAGCTGTTTCGACATCTAGCGCCATCTACATATATTACCCCAATAAGTCGAACCAACCGGGGCAACTTGAGCAGTTGGGTTGTAAAGATAGACGTGTTAAATCATGCCACGCGACGCAACGATGTTTTTTCCGCTTTGTATTTTAACAGTATTATTGACAGCGGATAAAATGTATCAAATTAAACGTGAATGACTTTTATATCTTAAAAACCTAACAATAGGGTCAATCAATTTTAAAAAACTTTCGAATAAGTCAATAAAAAAAAATACTTAACGGCCCTATTTTCATATTTTTGAATATTTCTCTACATTGATGCATTTGAGAGCAAAAGTGTTAGATAATAATGTATAAAGGGTAAAATTTGCTGCAACTTTTATTCTAAAAGTTTTTCTGTATCACACTTTGATTACCATTTTTTTCCATAAGCAACTTTAGTAACTACGACTATTTGGAATTTTCAAATTTTTGAATTTTTCTCTACATTGATGCATTTGAGAGCAAAAATGTTCGAGAATAATGTGTAAAGGATAAAATTTGCTATAACTTTTATTCTAAAACTATTTCCGTATCATACTTTGATTACCATTTTTTTTCCATGAGCAACTTGAGTAACTACGACTTTTTGGAATTTTTAAATTTTTGAATTTTTCTCTACATTGATGCATCTAGGAGCAAAAGTGTTAGATAGTAATGTGTAAAAAAATTTGCTACAACTTTTGCTCTAAAAGTTTTTCTGTATCATGCTCGGATTACCGTTTTTTTTCCATTTGAGTAACTACAAATTCTTCCAATTTTCATATTTTTGAATATTTCTCTACATTGATGCATCTGATAGAAACGTAGACACTAATAACAAAATAGAGAGATAGAAAGAGCCAGAAAAGGAGCAACCAACTAAAATTGCAAAAACTAATCAAAATCCGGAAAAATGTCAGATCCAACAAAGCTAGGACAGAACCCAGCAATAAGCTAGAAACGCAGAATCTTATCAAAAACTAGGGAGACAAAAAGGGGCAGACCGGAAAGAAAAAAACCCAAAGAAGCTACAAAGACAGAACTCAGCAATAAGCTAGAAATATAGAAACTAATCACAAACTTGAGAAACAAAAAGAACCAGACAAGAAAGAATTTGAAACATTCATCTTTAATAAATCATATCTCAAAAACGAATTGAGATATCGCGATGAAATAAGAAGCATCTCAAAGCTAATTTAATTAATATTAAAGAAATCAAGCGTTAATTCTTTGATTTTAAAAATTTTGGAGTTATGATTTTTTTGAAAATTAACTATTTTAATAAAATTATCTAAAAAAGCTTTTTTCTCAAAATTTTTTTATATAAAATTTTGAAACAACATACAGATTTCGAAAGAAGTCATCTTCAGCTTCAATTTGAGCCATAAATCGCTTCTTCATTATCATAAATAAAAAAGTTATGATTTTTTGAAAATTTACTATTTTAATAAAATTATCTAAAAAAGCTTTTTTCTCAAAATTTTTTTATATAAAATTTTTAAACAACATCCAGATTTCGAAAGAAGACATCTTCAGCTTCAATTTGAGCCGTAAATCGCTTCTTCATTATCATAAATAAGAAAGTTATGATTTTTTGAAAATTTGACATCTTCTGAAAACGAGGTTAGACAAAAAAAATTTTTTCTTCTAAACGGTTTGTCCGATATAAACAAAACTTTTTCTACGTATAAAAGAATGTTTGAGGTTCGTTTATACCAAATTTTAATATTAAAAGTTGAACGGTTTTTTTATATAAAAATTCCGAAAGAGGAAGAGCGATAAATATTCAATAAATTTTGATGAAATAAAACTTTGTGCATTAAAGGGTTAAATTATTAAATAATAACAAAAATCACTTACCCAAAATAAACTTGAACGCAAGTAGAGAAGCTCGAACACAAAAGCATCCCAATTTCCTTAACTGGAAAATCGCTCAATCGCTCGTACAAATCGTTTAATAAATCAACAGCACTCGGTAATCCCCCATTTTTAGACCTATCAATCCGACAAATCGAAATAAGATTTTTCAGGTGCTCATAAAGCGGCTTCATGTGATTAGAAACACACAATAAACCCATCTTTTCACTGATAGTAAACGTCGCGACTCGATAAAACGACAAATACTCTTGCAAACTGTTACAAAACGCCTTCAAAACGAACCCTTTCATATCCATTTGGCAAAAATTGTTCAAAACGCGGTAAAAGGTGCCGCAAAAAATCAAATCTTTCGAGTAATCTTCCAAAGCCTCGCGAGATACCCCATCAATCGTTACGTTTTTGATCAAAAACATTTCGTTATTTTCGTTTAAATCGAACGAATCGGATGAGGTTCCAACTAAAATACAAAAATATTAAATTAATAATAATTAAAAATATTTTAGATTTTATAAAATTTAAAAAACACGAAAAATAATAAGATTTTCGTAAAGATCGGAAAATTCTAACCTAATTTGATATATCACGTTCCATATCTATCATAAAATTCACATAAAAAAGCATAAATGACACAAATAATTAGTGTTTTGTTTTCGGCCATCTTGGTTTTTAAAAACAAAGATATCTCGGGTGTTGTAACACGTAGATAGGTAGAGTTTGGACTCATTTTACGCGATTTTTAATTATCTAGCGTAATTTAATAACAATTTAATTGTTTGTAACAATTTAATTGTTTGTAACAATTTAATTGTTATAAAATGATGTTTTTCGAAAAAATTGTTTTAATAAAACTTTTAATAATTTCATTTGGAACAAATTTTGTTTAAAAAATTTTTTGATTCGATCAATAATTAGAGAGATAACCTCAAAAAATGATTTGTTATAAAACTGTGGAGCCCCATCTGGTGGAGATATCGCAAAATTTTATTAAAACAAATCATTTTAAATTACCTATATTCTAAACAGATATTATACGAAACATTTTTCGATTAAAACAATTTTATGACAAAATTGACCTTAATTTAAATAAAATGAGTCATTTCGGATCATTTTGATTTAATTGTTATAAATGAAATTTTTCGAAAAAATTGTTTTAATAAAAGCTTTTAATAATTTCATTTGGAACAAATTTTGTTTAAAAAATTTTTTGATTCGATCAATAATTAGGAAGATAACCTCAAAAAACGATTTTTTATACCAGCGTGGAGCCCCATCTGGTGGAGATATCGCAAAATTTTATTAAAACAAATCATTTTAAATAATATTCTAAACAGATATTATTCGAAACATTTTTTGATTAAAACAATTTTATGACACAATTTAAAATGAGTCATTTCGGATCATTTTGAGTTAATTGTTATAAATGAAGTTTTTCGAAAAAATTGTTTTAATAAAAGCTTTTTATAATTTCATTTGGAACAAATTTTGTTTAAAAATTTTTTTGATTCGATCAATAATTAGAAAGATAACCTCAAAGAACGATTGTTTATACCAGTGTGGAGCCCCATCTGGTGGAGATATCGCAAAATTTTATTAAAACAAATCATTTTAAATTATATTCTAAACAGATATTATTCGAAACATTTTTCGATTAAAACAATTTTATGACACAATTTAAAATGAGTCATTTCGAATCATTTTGATTTAATTGCTATAAAATGATGTTTTTCGAAAAAATTGTTTTAATAAAATCTTTTAATAATTTCATTTGGAACAAATTTTGTTTAAAACATTTTTTGATTCGATCAATAATTAGAAAGATACCCTCAAAAAACGATTTTTTATACCAGTGTGGAGCCCCATCTGGTGGAGATATCGCAAAATTTTATTAAAACAAATCATTTTAAATTATATTTTAAACAGATATTATTCGAAACATTTTCCGATTAAAACAATTTTATGACACAATTTAAAATGAGTCATTTCGGATCATTTTGAGTTAATTGTTATAAATGATGTTTTTCGAAAAAATTGTTTTAATAAAAGCTTTTAATAATTTCATTTGGAACAAGTTTTGTTTAAAAATTTTTTTGATTCGATCAATAATTAGGAATATAACCTCAAAAAACGATTTTTTATACCACTGTGGAGCCCCATCTGGTGGAGATATCGCAAAATTTTATTAAAACAAATCATTTTAAATTATATTCTAAACAAATATTATGCGAAACATTTTTCGATTAAAACAATTTTATGACAAAATTTAAAATGAGTCATTTCGGATCATTTTGAGTTAATTGTTATAAATGAAGTTTTTCGAAAAAATTGTTTTAATAAAAGCTTTTAATAATTTCATTTGGAACAAATTTTGTTTAAAAACTTTTTTGATTCGATCAATAATTAGAAAGATAACCTCAAAAAACGATTTTTTGATTTGGGACATCCTGTACATAAATAATATTGATATAAAACCTCATTTTTTAGACAAACCTCACATAATAAATAAAAAAAACAATATTATTTCTGAAATAAGCATCAAAAACGACATAAAAATGATTTGAACAATTATTTAATTACTCACCAAGCAATAATCTGAGATGTTTTATGAAACTCTCCCGTTTTACGACTTTATTAGCTCCAATTGAGTCGAAATTTAGCTTTAATTTGGCTTCTTTCCCCCGAATAAATTCATGAAATAAATTAATAACCTCCAAAGACGAATCTGTTAAGAAATCTTTCTCTTTCTCTGGGCAGGGGTTCCCCAAACTCTCCCAAGTCCTATGTTTAGTATAAACAGTCTTTGAAACTAACTCCCAAATCTCTGTTGGATCCTCAAATTTACTTTTAATCGAATCCTCCTCCCCAATTTGATCCACTTCATCATTTTTCTCTAAATCTTTGAATAAAGAGCAACTTGAACTCCTAATTTGTGACCTCATACAAGCCTCACAATTAAAATTTCTTTTATCACAACACTTTGAGGGTGGTGGGTTGAAATAAAAGGATGAATTGTTGTATTTGGCATTGCTACAAATTGGGGGAAGATTTAAATGGAATGAGTGCTTGCTAAAGATTCGATATTTAATGCAACTCTCTCCTGATAATAAACTGAGTGAGGAAATCCCAGATTCTATCTCCGGGGGATTACGAAGTTGGATTAAAAAGAATAAAACCGATTTAACCACATCATCTTTTATAGCACCACTTTTTTCTAAAACATCTAAGTTATTTTGGATCTTTTTGGCGTGTTCAGGTAGTTTGTAGCGATAAACAAGCATGAGTTGCCACGCCAATAAGTTACAAATCGGATCTTTGTTGTCTTCTAAAAGATTTAGTCCAACATAACCTAAAAAAAAAATTTTTTTAATCAATTTATTTTTGGAATGATCAAAACTTACGTGATATTTTCTTCGATAATAAGATCTCGTACGATATCGCCCTTAATTTCTTTATATTTTCCTTATTGGGCTTTTTTCCAGAAGAAATCAACATCCGCTCGCATAATTTTGTGATTAATTCGTAAACGCTACACGAGTGGTTATCCATTATAAACTTCATAATCGCGTTATTTCACTTAACAATAAACTAATTTTTGGTTTAATTCGGCTCTGTTTTTAAATAAATTTAGAATTAAATTAACATAAAACCGGCGTGACAGCTGTCAATTTTTCGAACGACCCAAAAAACAAACGTGAAGTTGGTTTCTTATTATTAAATTTTTGTTGTAAGTAATTATTTATTTATTATATTTGTTGATTCATTATAATTAAATGAAATGAATCGATTTATTAAGTTTTATGGGTTTTTGTGAAATTGTAATTATTAATTATGAAGTAACCACTTCATCTCAATCCATCGAAATCTTTTTTTTAATTATTTTAATAAAAAATTAATTTATCAATATTAATGTAATACTTAATTATTGATGAAAATAACAAAATTAAACATTAATATTAAATAAATAATCTTTTTATCCGATTGTGTTACCAACCTAAATCATAATAATAACGAAAAAAACCGTTACGTCAAAAATGACAGTTATAAATTAAAAAAAAATTTATTTCTTATTTTAAACTAAATTCTTATTATCTTTGATTAAATTAATCCCTATAATGTTTAACAAAAATACTATAAATAATAACAACATTTTGTTTGAGTTAATAACTTTAAAAAAAATTTTAAATTTTTTCATTCATCTCAATGTTTAAAAGATCATATCTCAAAAAGTAATTGAGATATCACGATGATTTATGCACCATTTTGTAGCAAATTTAATCTAAAATATTTTCTTCGTTTCTATAAATTTTGCCCCATCATTGTTTCTTTAGGAGTTATGACATGATCTTAACATCTCGTTCTGTCTTAATACTTTTTCCACGATATCTAGATTTCTAAGCCTCGTAGAGCAAAAATAAAAGAGGGCGATTTTGTAGAGGATTAAATTTGCTATAACTTTTATTAATAAATGATTNGTTCTGTCTTAATACTTTTTCCACGATATCTAGATTTCTAAGCCTCGTAGAGCAAAAATAAAAGAGGGCGATTTTGTAGAGGATTAAATTTGCTATAACTTTTATTAATAAATGATTACGATGCGGGTTATATTTCTTGATTTATCTGGTATGATCGTAACACCTCATTTTGCCAAAATCGGATTAATACTTTTTTTTCAATATCTATGTTTCTAAGCCTCGTAGAGCAAAAATAGAAGAGGGCGATTTTGTACAAGATTAAATTTGCTATAATTTTTATTAATCAAAGATTTCGATGTGGGATATATTTTTTGATTTATGTGGTATGATCGTAACATCTCGTTTTGCCAAAATCGGATTAATACTTTTTCCTCAATATCTATGTTTCTAAGCCTCGTAGAGCAAAAATAAAAGAGGGCGATTTTGTAGAAGATTAAATTTGCTATAATTTTTATTAATAAATGATTTCGATGCGGGTTGTATTTTTTGATTTATCTGGTATGATCGTAACATCTCGTTTTGCCAAAATCGGATTAATACTTTTTCCACAATATCTATGTTTCTAAGCCTCATAGAGCAAAAATAAAAGAGGGCGATTTTGTGGAAGATTAAATTTGCTATAATTTTTATTAATAAATGATTTCGATGCGAGTTATATTTTTTGATTTATCTGGTATGATCGTACCATCTAATTTTGCCAAAATCGGATTAATACTTTTTCCACAATATCTATGTTTCTAAGCCTCGTACAGCAAAAATATAAGTGGGCGATTTTGTAGAGGATTAAATTTGCTATAATTTCTATTAATAAAAGATTTCGATGCGGGTTATATTTTTTGACTTATGTGGTATGTTCGTAACATCTCGTTTTACCAAAATCGGATTAATACTTCTTCCACAATATCTATGTTTCCAAGCCTCGTAGAGCAAAAATAAAAGAGGGCGATTTTGTAGAAGATTAAATTTGCTATAACTTTTATTAATAAATGATTTCGATGCGGGTTATATTTTTTGATTTATCTGGTATGATCGTAACATCTCGTTTTGCTAAAATCGGATTAATACTTTCTCCACAATATCTACGTTTCTAAGCGTCGTAAAGTAAAAATAAAAGAGGGCGATTTTGTAGAGGATTAAATTTGCTATAACTTTTATTAATAAATGATTTCGATGCGGGTTATATTTTTTGATTTATCTGGTATGATCGTAACATCTCGTTTTGCTAAAATCGGATTAATACTTTCTCCACAATATCTACGTTTCTAAGCGTCGTAAAGTAAAAATAAAAGAGGGCGATTTTGTAGAGGATTAAATTTGCTATAATTTTTATTAATAAATGATTCCGATGCGGGTTATATTTTTTGATTTATCTGGTATGATCGTAACATCTCGTTTTGCCAAAATCGGACTAATACTTTTTCCACAATATCTATGTTTCTAAGCCTCGTACAGCAAAAATAAAAGAGGGCGATTTTGTAGAGGATTAAATTTGCTATAACTTTTATTAATAAATGATTTCGATGCGGGTTATATTTTTTGATTTATCTGGTATGATCGTAACATCTCGTTTTGCCAAAATCGGATTAATACTTTTTCCACAATATCTATGTTTCCAAGCCTCGTAGAGCAAAAATAAAAGAGGGCGATTTTGTAGAGGATTAAATTTGCTATAACTTTTATTAATACATCATTTCGATGCGGATTATATTTTTTTATTTTTGTGGTATGATCGTTACATCTCGTTTTGCCAAAATCGGATTAATACATTTTCCACAATATCTATGTTTCTAAGCCTCGTGCAGCAAAAATTAAAGAGGGCGATTTTGTTGAAGATAAAATTTGCTATAATTTTTATTAATAAATGATTTCGATGCGGGTTATATTTTTTGATTTATGTGATATGATCGTAACCCCTCGTTTTGCCAAAATCGGATTAATACTTTTTCCTCAATATCTATGTTTCTAAGCCTCGTAGAGCAAAAATAAAAGAGGGCGATTTTGTAGAAGATTAAATTTGCTATAATTTTTATTAATAAATGATTTCGATGCGGGTTATATTTTTTGATTTATCTGGTATGATCGTAACATCTCGTTTTGCCAAAATCGGATTAATACTTTTTCCACAATATCTATGTTTCTAAGCCTCGTAGAGCAAAAATAAAAGAGGGCGATTTTGTAGAAGATTAAATTTGCTATAATTTTTATTAATAAATGATTTCGATGCGGGTTATATTTTTTGATTTATCTGGTATGATCGTAACATCTCGTTTTGCCAAAATCGGATTAATACTTTTTCCACAATATCTATGTTTCTAAGCCTCGTAGAGCAAAAATAAAAGAGGGCGATTTTGTAGAAGATTAAATTTGCTATAATTTTTATTAATAAATGATTTCGATGCGGGTTATATTTTTTGATTTATCTGGTATGATCGTAACATCTCGTTTTGCCAAAATCGGATTAATACTTTTTCCACAATATCTATGTTTCTAAGCCTCGTAGAGCAAAAATAAAAGAGGGCGATTTTGTAGAAGATTAAATTTGCTATAATTTTTATTAATACATGATTTCGATGCGGGTTATATTTTTTGATTTATCTGGTATGATCGTAACATCTCGTTTTGCCAAAATCGGATTAATACTTTTTCCACAATATCTATGTTTCTAAGCCTCGTAGAGCAAAAATAAAAGAGGGCGATTTTGTAGAGGATTAAATTTGCTATAACTTTTATTAATACATGATTTCGATGCGGGTTATATTTTTTGATTTATCTGGTATGATCGTAACATCTCGTTTTGCCAAAATCGGATTAATACTTTTTCCACAATATCTATGTTTCTAAGCCTCGTAGAGCAAAAATGAAAGAGGGCGATTTTGTAGAGGATTAAATTTGCTATAACTTTTATTAATACATGATTTCGATTTCTCCTAAGCAGCATTTAGAATAAAACACAAACTAAAGATGGACTTTTTATTAATTAAGTACAATATCATATTATGTATAGAATATATCGTGAAAATAGTATGAAAATTGTAGTAGAATATATAAACAGTATCTCGTCAGTTTGTATTTTTTACAAGCTAAGTTAATTACATAACCGCACTCTCTAAGAGACGTGCTTTGCGATGCGAAGCTTTTTTTTCGTTACTAACTTTTTAAATACGTCTCGTAAATTTTTCAAAAGCACTTTAGATTTAGATTTCTCCGTAAAATATCACTACGTCCTCATTGAAAAGCGATTATTATCAATTTCTATTACACTTTTGGTATGAAATGAGCAAGATAGATTTTACACTTTGAGTCCCGTGTTGGAAAAACTTTTTTTTTCTGATAAGTTTAATTAATAGATATGATTCGTCTGCTCAAGCCAGAAAATTTTCCCAACATTTTCTCCCTTGATCAGCTCGAGAAATTCAAACACGGTTTAATTTAATTTAATTTAATTTAAATTTTTGATATAAAGATATCTATTTTTTAACTTTTATTATTAATTAATTAATTAATAACTTATTGGTAGTATCACAAAATATTCCCAGTATATTTTGAACCACCAATTTATTTATTTATTCATTTTTTTTAACAACTTTATTAAATACTTAATTTAATTCGTTTTAACACAGTTGAAAGCGGCTTATACTAAAAAGATCTTCAATGCTAATCGTGCTAAATTTGTTTTAATACAATATTAGTGCTTTATTATTTCCTTTTTTAATATTAATTTAATTCAAATTTTGTACGAACTCATTTTGCAGATTTGAAGAGTAAAGAAGTCGTTTTTTGTGATGTGGTGGACAAGATTAAATTATTAATTCTTTTTAAAGTTTAATTTCCCATAAATATGGTCCCTATCATCACGCCTATCGTTAAATATTAGATTATTATTAGAAAATTCATCTAATTAACTTCATATCTATTAATTTCTTGATTGTATGCGATTTAAATCTCTTCGGATCTCTTCTCGACGATGACACTCTCCAAAGTTTGACTTGCCGATGTGGGGAGAGGCATCGAGCTGTTTGGGGGCCCATTCTTGTTGATGGATCTCAACGAACCCACCGAAACGTTGCTGGAACCTCTCGAACCCCTTCTGGATCCTAGAAATAAACGCCCTAGGGTCGAAGGGTCAATATGACTTGTTTAGTTGGTGCATAACTGGTTTGTGATGATAAGAAACAACGACAACAACACAAAACAACAACTAAAATAAACGTATACCATTTATTTTTGGAGATGAGATGCGAAATTCAACAAAAAAAACTGTTTGAAGGTAAATTTAGTAAAACACGAGGCGTGTAAGATTTGGATGAATAAATTTAGATATAAAAACGAATTTAGAAACGAAAAAAAAGAGTAAAATTTTTTGATATTGGCCACCGTTTTTGAGATATTTGCTTATAACATCGCTATATTAGCTAAATCAAAAATAACAAACTTTTTGTTTCCTAAGTTAGTAACAATTAATGATAAAGAAAATTTTTTTATGGATTATAATTTATGAGATCATTACCAATGTTTTTCATCTAAACCATTTTACTCCATCATCTTTAGGTCGTAACTTATTACCTATGTTTATGTTAAAAATGCGGAATTACGAAAATTCATCACTTTTTGTTTCCTAAGTTGGTAACAATTAACGATAAAGAATTTTTTTTTTGATTATAATTTATGGCTTAATTATTAACATTTTTTATCTAAATCTTTTCACTCCAACACTTTCAGTTTTTAATTTATTACCTATAAGAGTGTCAAAATCGCCAAATTCTTCAATTCTACTTCCCTAAGTTGGTAATAACCAATGACAGGGGCAAATTTCTTATGGATTATAGTTTTTGAGTTGATTATTAATGTTTTTCATCTAAACTATTTCATTCCATCATCTTTAGGTCGTAATTTATTACCTATAATTATGTTAAAAATGCAGAATTACGAAAATTCATCACTTTTTGTTTCCTAGGTTGGTAACAATTAACGATCAGGAAAATTTTTTTATGGATTATAATTTATGGCTTAATTATTAACGTTTTTTATTTAAATCTTTTCACTCCATCACATTCACTCTTTAATTTATTACGTATAAGAGTGTCAAAATCGCAAAATTCTTCAATACTACTTCCCTAACTTGGTAATAACCAATGGCAGGGGCAAATTTCTTATGGATTATAGTTTTTGAGTTGATTATCAATGTTTTTCATCTAAACTATTTCACTCCATCATCTTTAGGCCGTAACTTATTACCTATGATTAAGTTTAAAATGCAGAATTATCAAAATTCATCACTTTTTGTTTCCTAAGTTGGTAATAACTAACGATAAAGACAATTTTTTTATGGATTATAATTTATGGCTTAATTATTAACGTTTGTTATCTAAATCTTTTCCCTCCAACACTTTCAGTTTTGTTTTTTTAATTTATTACCTATAAGAGTGTCAAAATCGCAAAATTCTTCAATACTACTTCCCTAGGTTGGTAATAACCAATGACAGGGGCAAATTGCTTATCGATTATAGTTTTTGAGTTGATTATCAATGTTTTTCATCTAAACTATTTCACTCCATCATCTTTAACCCGTAGCTTATTACCTATAATTATGTTAAAAATGCAGAATTATGAAAATTCATCACTTTTTGTTTCCTAGGTTGGTAACAATTAATGATAAGGAAAATTTTTTTATGGATTATAATTTATGAGTTGATTATTAACATTTTTTATCTAAACCTTTTCACTCCAGCACTTTCAGTGTTTAATTTATTACCTATAAGAGTGTCAAATGGCAAAATTCATCACTTTTTGTTTCCTAAGTTGGTAACAATTAATGATAAGGAAATTTTTTTTATGGATTATAATTTATGACTTAATTATTAACGTTTTTTATCTAAATCTTTTCTCTCCATCACTTTCAGTTTTGTTTTTTTAATTTATTACCTATAAGAGTGTCAAAATCGCAAAATTCTTCAATACTACTTCCCTAGGTTGGTAATAACCAATGACAGGGGCAAATTTCTTATGGATTATAGTTTCTGAGTTGATTATCAATGTTTTTTATCTAAACTATTTCCCTCCATCATCTTTAGGTCGTAACTTATTACCTATGATTATGTTAAAAATGCAGAATTATTAAAATTCATCACTTTTTGTTTCCTAAGTTGGTAATAACTAACGATAAAGAAATTTTTTTATGGATTATAATTTATGAGTTGATTATTAACGTTTTCTATCTAAATCTTTTCCCTCCAACACTTTTAGTTTTTAATTTATTACCTATAAGAGTGTCAAAATCGCAAAATTCTTCAATACTACTTCCTTAGGTTGGTAATAACCAATGACAGGGGCAAATTTCTTATGGATTATAGATTTTGAGTTGATTATCAATGTCTTTCATCTAAACCATTTCACTCCATCATCTCTAGGTCGTAACTTATTACCTATGATTATGTTAAAAATGCAAAATTATGAAAATTCATCACTTTTTGTTTCCTAGATTAGTAACAATTAATGATAAAGACATTTTTATTATGGATTATAATTTATGGCTTAATTATTAACGTTTTTTTATCTAAATCTTTTCCCTCCATCACTTTCAGTTTTTAATTTATTACCTATAAGAGTGTCAAAATCGCAAAATTCTTCAATACTACTCCCCTAGGTTGGTAATAACCTAATAACCAATGACAGGGGCAAATTTCTTATGGATTATAGTTTTTGAATTGATTATCAATGTTTTTCATCTAAACCATTTCACTCCATCATCTTTAGGTCGTAACTTATTACCTATGATTATGTTAAAAATGCAGAATTACGAAAATTCATCACTTTTTGTTTCCTAGGTTGGTAACAATTAATGATAAGGAAAAATTTTGTATGGATTATAATTTATGGCTCAATTATTAACATTTTTTATCTAAATCTTTTCCCTCCATCACTTTCAGTCTTTAATTTATTACCTATAAGTGTGTCAAAATAGCAAAATTCTTCAATACTACTTCCCTAGGTTGGTAATAACCAATGACAGGGGCAAATTTCTTATGGATTATAGCTTTTGAGTTGATTATCAATGTTTTTCATCTAAACTATTTCACTCCATCATCTTCAACCCGTAACTTATTACCTATAGTTATGTTAGAAATGCAGAATTATGAAAATTCAACACTCTTTGTTTCCTAGGTTGGTAATAACTAACGATAAGGAAAATTTTTTTATGGATTATAATTTATGAGTTGATTATTAATATTTTTTATCTAAATCATTTCAATCCATCACTTTCAGTCTTTAATTTATCACCTACCCAGTAAACATGAAACATCTGTGAAACATTTCAATTTTAACGTACAGTGAATTAAATGAAACATCTTAGATCTACGTTTCATATACGTGACAGATACGATTTTTACGAAACGTATCTAAAGATATGTATCAAATACATTTCAGTAGAAATATTTATGAAATATCATTAAAATATGTAGCAGAAACATTTCATTTGAAACATTTCGCTACAAATGTGTCTGAAACATGTCTGGAATATCTTCAGCACCGCCTGTGAACGTATGTACAAACATTAATTAATGTTTGTAAACAGAACTAACCTAAGGTAACATTCCTTCACGGTTTAATTGACAGTTCAAAAGAAAACTTCACGCTATGATTGGCATTACTAATTACTAAAGAAAACTTCACGCTATAATTAATGTTTGTAAACAGAACTAACCTTACGTAACATTCCTTCACGGTTTAATTGGCATTTCAAAAGAAAACTTCACGCTATGATTGGCATTACTAATTACTAAAGAAAACTTCACGCTATAATTAATGTTTGTAAACAGAACTAACCTTACGTAACATTCCTTCACGGTTTAATTGGCATTTCAAAAGAAAACTTCACGCTATGATTGGCATTACTAATTACTAAAGAAAACTTCACGCTATAATTAATGTT